AGAATAATAGAACTTCATCATATGTCTTTGTGTGTCATGTAAGGTTTTTCTTGGCAAGTAAAACTGAAAACTCTTTTCTGATAAATTAATTTTTATATATTTTGAACTAGATAAATTCTGCTCATCAAATAGCTTAAATGTAGCATTGCTGAATGTTTGAACATGGAAGATCTGCTGTTTTGTTCTTTTACTACAGGTTGAACCTCAGGCCTTATGCATGGTAGTCAGTAGCTACAGCCCTGAGTTACACCATCAGCCCTGTGAACTTTCTGTTTGAGACAAGATCTCACTAACTCATACAAGCTGGCCTTGAATTCAGTCTTTAGCAAGAATGGACCTTGAACATGGGATCCTCCTGAGTATCTGTGTTAAAGGCCTGCTATGTAAGACCAGCCCAAGTTCTGTCCTGTGTCATTAAAAAAATTTATCTTACATTTAAGTTCATGTAATATTCATAAATTTTTATTTGGAGAGTATTTTATTTCTTCTTGAGATTCCTTTAATCTGTTAATAATCTGTTAACTACTTTCATAATCCAGAAACTGAAATAAATTAAATTCTTCAATCTTGTCTTCTAGTTTCTCATGAAGTCTTAAACATGACCATTAGTCTGGGGATATGTACTAGAGTAGGAGAGTGCTGATCAGTTCTAATAGGTTATTTATTGAGTAGGAAATTCCATAGTGAAATTGTATCCTAAGTTGGAAAAATAAAAGTTTTTAGGACTTCCATGTAAGGAGACATTACTACTTATTTCATGTAATTGCTGACTTTGTTAGCATTTTGGGGAGTAATTTTAACTAAAGTAATATTTCTAATAAAAATTCAACTGTGAACAATATTGTATAAATGGAATGGTGGTAAGTTGAGATTTTATTAGCAGTTATAAGACAATGATTTGAATGTTGCCTTAAGAATAACATGTCTTAGCCCCTAAGACACTTGCTTTTTAATGACATGATAAAGGGGGAAAACTTTAGTTGAGTCATATAAAAGATTGTTTTAAATTGTTTGATAATGTAGTCATCATTTGTCATCTTTGTTTTTTGAGGCAGGGTGTCTCTGTGGCTTTGGAGGCTGTCCTGGAACTAGATCTTGTAGACCAGGCTGTTCTTGAACTCACAGAGATCCGCCTGCCTCAGCCTCCCAAGTGATGGGATTAAAGGTGTACGCCACCACCGCCTGTCCATCATTTGTCATCTTATGCTCTTTTAAATGTTTGGGAACTATCCCTATGAAAAACATGTTTTAAAGTATATACTTATTAAATTGTCATTCAGAAATTTATATTTTTGTCTTTTGCATATCCACTATGCCTTATATTTCAGTGTAAGCTTCAAAGTGTGTATAATTCCTAGAGGCTAAATGTTTATGACTTTGTCTGCTGTATGAAAGGTATTGAGTGACTTTGCCTTTGTGGTATCAATAATTTTTATTTGTTAGTGGTGCCATATGAAGTCATGGAAGCATAGATAGAAACACCCTAGGGCCAGATTTGGGTACATGTGATTTATTCTGAGATGCTTCAGGAGACCGACAGTGAGGAAAGTGTGATTGGTCTGGATGAGCCTGAGCAAGCTTTATTGTAGTAGAATCCAGATTTAGCATGAACTCATGGGTAGTTCTGGATAGGAAAGAGGAAGCAGGCTTCCTTTTCCCATGTTATTTTCTGGCTGAAGGTTGCTTGGATGGAGGTGAAATAGAAAATGGGGTGGCTTGTGTCTAGAATGGGTCATAGGAATCAAGGCAGCTGGGGTGTGGTGCACCAGGCCAGGCATGGGGTGAGGCTCATGATTCACATCTGCATCCTTTGCAAGTGCCCATCAACTATAGCAATTAAGATATCTTGATTATTAAGAATATGTGAACATTATTTATGAATGTAATATCCTTGATTTCTTGCTTCCCATTGGAAGCCTTTTCTTTTAATAAGATCCTCTGGGAATCAAATACATGAATCAATTTTTTCTAACCTAAATTTGGAAAAACTTACCCATGGAATTGATTCCCAGAGGATCTTATTAAAACTCAGAGTAAGACATGTTGGATTTTTTTTTTTTTTAGTTTCTCTTTTTTTGTTGTTGTTATTTTTTCAGTTGTACCAATACTCTGAATTTTCAAGTTATTTGGTACCAGGCACAAGAAGTAGCACCTTATTAGTTATTCTTCACCAACTGAAGAAAATGTGTTACCTCCCATAGTAACCATTAGCTGCCTCTAGATCCTCAGGGAGGGAGTGTGGGGCTTCATGAACACCTCCTTTCTTTACGACAGGATATTGATGGGTCCAGTCTTGTACAGGTCCTGTTCAGATGGTCACCTCTGCCATGAGTTCAAGAGTGTGAAGATCATGTGATACCAGAAACTGCATTCCACAGTACTCCCCTTCTTCTGTTCTTTCTCTTCCATGGTGTACCCTGAGCCTTAGAGGGGTAATATCAATGCTTATGTATATCTGAGCACTCAGTAGTCACATATTTTCAGCAATCAACTAATTAATGGTCTGTGTAATGTTTACTATCCACTGAAAAAACAAACAAAAATCCCTCTCTGCTCAAAACAGCACATGGTCATAAACATAAATATTTAGAAGGCAGTTTGATGTCCATTTAGCAAAACAATGGCAGGAGCTTGTACATTATGGCCTATGACCTCCCCAGCTATGGGCTGACCAGGTTTATAGTAGTAGATGTATGGAGCAGGTCTCAAATCCAGTCAGAAAATGTTTGGCTCTCCCTGTGACAGACTTGTTGCTGTTCTTTCCTGGCAGGCCAGTGTTGTTGGCATGAAGGGTCACTGGGAGGGCTAGATATCTGGGAGGAAGCTTCTGGTACAATTCCATCTTGAGTTCTTTATGTCTTATGACTAAAGCGGCAGTCTTCAGCCGAGGGTCTTGACATTTAGTTCTGATGGACACCCAGTAATAGTACAGTACTCTGTGCTGTCTTGGGGAGTTGACAGGCTTTCAATTTTGTTTTTTATTGTCACCTATAGCAAGAAATAGGTGTGTTTTTTGTGTTGCAGCTCTGTAGCCAGACTTTGTTTGGACTACCAGCTCCCGAATAATGACACAGACTTCCTAAGTATGAAATCTTGGCCTTTGCTTAGGCTTGTTCCCAAATAGCTCTTGAAACTTAAATTAACCAGTTTATATTAATCAGTGTTCTGTCACATGACTCCTTACCTCTCCTCAGCACTGTATGTCCTGTTTCCTCCATGTCTGGCTGGCGAATCCCTCACCTCAGATTTTTCTCAGAGGTTCTGATTCTACCCAGAAGCCCCACCATTCCTCTCCTGTCTAACTATTGGCCATTCAGCTTTTTACTAAACCAACCAGAAGGTACCTTAGGCAGATGAGGTAAAACAGACACATTTTCACAGTGTTCAAAAAGATTATCCCACAACACTGCTCAATATTATTTTGGCATATGTGTATAAACACAAAGATACATACACATACTTTTTTCACTAATACTTAACACTGTTTTTTATCTGCCAGATCCTCTTCTGGCTAACTCAATCCTCAAACTACATAATAGGGAGTTGTTTCTAACCCTATTGAAAACTGAAACAGATATGTTAAATATTTTCCCAACATCACAGTTAGTAAACTGCAAATGTAGGCTTCAAACCCAAGGAGTCTGGCACTGGGATCTGCTCCTCACTCTGCACTGTCTTCCTTCCTTCCTCCCTTCTGCTCAGATTTATTTACCTTCAGATACATATGCATGTATATGTGTATGTAGAGGAGACATGTTTCATTAAGTGCTTTTAGTATGCTTGACCTTATTTCATGTCGCAATGCTTACAAGGCCTATTAACATTGGCATCATCGTCCACTGCTGATACACAGACCAGTGTTTAGGTGGACAGACTTTTAACAAGGACTGACATTACTAGATGGCTTCTATATCATGAGCATTAAATAATGAGAATGGTATCCTTGGTTAAAAAAAAAGATTATTGGAAATACTGTATATATTAAAAAGTGACGGGCTGGAGAGATGGTTCCGCTTTTAAGACCACTGGCTGCTCTTCTGGTCTCCACGGGCATCAGACACACACATGATACACAGACACACCTGCAGGCAAAACACCCATACACATACAACTAAAATATTATTATAATAAAAACGTGACAGGAAGGGATGAACAGATGGCTAGTGGATAAAAGGCTGTTGCTGTCAAGCCTGAGTTCAATCTTTAGGGCCCACATCTTGGAAGGAGAGAACCGACTCCTGCAAATCATCCTCTGACCCCCCCTCACAAAATCAAGACATGCACATGCCCCTCGCCCTTAAGTAATAAAGAATATTAGTAAATAAGAAAACCATAAAATGATAGATTAAACCTCAAATTACTAAGGACTTTAAATTTTTAATTATTTTTGTATGTTGGGGTGGGTAGACGCTTGTGCTTGTGTGCTTGCGTTCAGGTGATGGCACCCATTGTCTAAGTCAGAGACGATTTAAAGAGTTACTTTTCTCCTTCTACCTTGTGGTTCTCAAGGTCATCAGGGTTAATGTAAACACCTTTACCCACTGAAACATGTTGGTGGGTTTCTATTTACTAAAACTTTATAGGACTCAGCTACTGAGTAGATTTCAGAGACTTCGAGGATGGACAGTAAGGGTGTTTGTAGATCTAAGGTCTTACTGGATTTTTCTTGTGAGTTGTGAGTACAAATTTTAATTTGTTTTAGTCAGATTCAGCTTTTTTTTTTTTTTTTGCACAGACTGTACTGCAGTAATACTGAAGTGAAACCACTTGTCTAAGAATCCTCTTCAGTGGCAGTCATTTTACATGGGCTCTAATGTGTCACTGCCCTTGTGTTACTGTGTACAGTGAGCAGGGATGAAGTTGTGCAGTAAGGATGACATTTGAAAGTTGGGAGTTCAAGGAGTGTACTTTTTTGGCCCCACCCAGTTCTGCAACTACCTTGAGGGATTGAGGTTCAGCAGTTGTAGTGATCAGCACTAATTTTCCACTTGATAATCTAGATTCAGCTGAGAGATGACCTCTGGGTCTGCCTGTGGGGAATTGTCTTGACTGCACTGATTGGAAGACCTGCACAGGGTGAGTGGTGGCGCCATTGCCTGTCTAGGATCCTGGATCAAATAAATGGAGGAAGGATATTGGCAGCATCCATTCATTCCTTGCACTTAGTTTCTTGAGTGTGATTGCAATGTGATCAGCTGCCTCAAGACCTCCTGCCTTGACTTTCCTGTCGAGATGGACTGTACCATGAGCTGGTAGCCAGAGGAAACCTTCATCTCTTAAGCTTCTGGTGTCAGGGTATTTTATCCCATCAGCAGAAGAGTGACCAAGACAGCAGGGTGCAGATGGGTATGGACAGGTGGGTTGATTTTTAAAGCTGGGAGCTTGTGCCAAGCCATGTTATATGTTGGAAGCGTCCCTTTTTCCAATTTGAATAGCTTGTGAGAAGTGTGTGTATGGCCAGGCCTTGTGATTAGTTCTTACATAGTTGTAGCAGAGTACAAGCAGAGGCTATATATAGATGTCACTGGGTTAAGATTTTCCTGTTCTAAAATGCCTGCAGCTAGGTTTCCTGAGGTCACTTTCACCATAGAATGTAGCAGGAACTCAGATTTAGCACCAGAATTAAAGAGGATTACTTCATGACAATCCATTTTTCTTCCTAAAATGTCCAGCTATTGCTCAGTGCTACAGATCTAGATCACAAAATCTTCTATTAAATAAAGACCCACTTTCAACTAAGTCAAAGTCATCAACAGACACTTTGGAAACACTCTAGATAGCTCTTTCTTGGCTATTGTCCTGTCTGCTTGTTTTTGGTTTGTTTTTTTATTCATTTTTTTCTTTTCACACACTTACATTGGATTTTTTCCTCTCATTTTACTTCTCAACAACAGTATCCCTTCCCTCCCCTCTCCCAGTCTCTCCCCCTCCATCTCCCCTCTCCCCCAGATCCATGCTCCCCCATCTCCTCTCAGAAAAGTGTAGGCCTCCCAGGGACATCAAACAAACACAGCATGATCTGCTACAATAAGACCAGGTATATACCATCACATCAAGTCTAGATAAGGCAAACAAGTAGGAAGAAAGGGGTCCTATAAGTAGGCAAAAGAGTCAGAAGCAGCCCCCATTAGAAGTCCCACAAGAACACCAAGCTGTTCAGCCATAACATATATGCAGAAGACCTAGGTCAGACCGGGACAGGCTCCCTGATCTCTGCAAGCCCCCATGAGTCCCAGTCAATTGATTCTGTGGGCCATGTTCTCTTGGTGTCCCTGACCCCTCTGGTTCCTCTGATCCTTCCTCCTCCCCCTCCTCCACAGGACTACTCAAGCTTTGTCTCATGTTTGACTGTGGGACTCTTCCTCTGCTCCCATTGGCTTCTGGATGAAGTCTCTCTGGTCTCTGATGAGGATTTTGCTAGGCTCTGGTCCCAGAACACTGCAGGCAGGACAAACTAAGTTGAAGGTTGGCTGCATTTGTGTCCTAGTCCCTCCACTTGAGGCCTTGACTGGCTACAGAAGATGGCTGCTTCAGGCTTGATGTCCCCCATTACTAGGGGTCTTTGCTAGGGTTACTGTCATGGATTCCTTGGAGTTTTCCATTGCACTAGGTTTCCACCTTGCCCCCCAATTCCAGTCATTTCTCCCAATAACCATCGCCCTAGGTGATCCCTCCTGTTCCGAGCCCAACCCAGCCCCACTCCACCAGCAAAATCTATTTTATTTTCCCTTCCCAGGGGGAACCTTGCATCTCCTTAAGTCCTCCTTGTTATTGAGCTGCTCTGGGTCCATGGACCGTAGCATGATTATCCTTTACTTTATAGCTACTGTCCACTTATAAGAGTACATCTTGTGTTTGTCTTTTCTGGGTCTGGGTTATCTCACCCTCAGGATGAGTTCTTCCAGGTTCCATCCATTTGCCTGCAGATTTCATGATGTCTTTGTTTTTAACAGCTGTACATTGTGAAAATGTACCACATTTTGTTTTTCCATTTCTAGGTTGTTTCCATTTTCTGGCTATTATGAATAAAACTGCTATGAACATAGTTGAGCAAGGGCTCTTGTGGTAGGATGGGGCTTCCTTTAGGGTATATGTCTGGAGGTGATATTGCTGGGTCTTGAAGTATATCGATTCCCAGTTTTCTGAGAAACCACCATATTGAGTTCCAAAGTGGCTGTACAAATTTGCACTGGCACCAACTGTAAAAGAGTCCTTGCTACACATCTTCCACTAACTTGAGATATCACTTGTATTTTTTATCTTGGCTGTCTAACAGGTGTAAGATGGAATCTCAAAGTTTTTTTTTGATTTGTGTTTCCCTGATAACTAAGAATGTTGAGCATTTCTTTGAGTGTTTCTTGGCCATTTGCAATTCCTCTGTTGAGAATTCTCTGTTTAGATCTGTATCCCATTTTTAAATGAGGTTAATTTAATTTGTTGATAGTTAGTTTCATGAGTTCTTTATATGTTTTGGAAACTAGCCCTCTGTCAGATGTGGAGTTGGTGAAAATCTTTTCCCATTCTGTGGGTGGTTGTTTTGTCCTAATGATAATGTCCTTTGTCTTACAGAATCGTCTCAGTTTCATGAGATCCCATTTATTAATTGTTGATCTCAGTGCCTGTGCTTTTGGTGTTCTGTTCAAGAAGTTGTCTCCTGTGCTAATGTATTCATATGTATTCCCCGATTGCTCTTCTATCAGATTCAGTGTATCTGGTTTTTATGTTGAAGTCTTTGATTCACTTGGACTTGAATTTTGTGCTAGGTAATAGATATTGATCTATCTGCATTCTTCTACCAGCCAACATCCAGTTAGCCTGACACCATTTGCTGAAGATGATTCCTTTTTTTGCTATATTTCTGACTTCTTTATCAAAAGTCAATTGTCCATAGGTGTATGGATTTACGTCTAGGTCTTCCAGTTGATTCCATTAATCAATGTGTCTGTTTTTATGCCAGTACCATGCAGTTTTTACTGCTAAAGCTCTGTAGTACAGCTTGACATCAGGGATGGTGATACCTCCAGAAGTGCTGTTATTGTATAGGATTGTTTTTAGCTTCCTGGCTTTTTTGTTTTTCCATATGAAGCTGTGTATTGTTCTTTCAAGGTCTGTAAAGAATTTTGTTGAAATTTTGATACAGATTTTAGTATTGGATTTCTATGATATGTGAGTTCCAGAGCTATTTGCTAATGAAAAAGTAAGTAAAGTCATACCTCATCTGGGATTTTGTTAATTCATTGAGTTGTGGAAAGTCAATGAAGTACTCATAGAATTAAATGTAAAAACACAATTATGGTTATTTTTTATGAAAGGAATGCATTGGGTTATGAGATTGTAGAATAAGTGTTGTGCTTGTCTGAGAAGTCAGAAAAGGAAGAGTGAACCAGGGTCTGCAGAAATAAAACTCGTCAAGGTAGGGAGTGAGATGATAAGCCAGCTACCTTAAAACTTCTGAGGTTCTGTTAAAGATACTCTGAATTTTAAGAACAATGAAGAATGGAATGTTTTGACACACAGGGTATTTTTTAAGTTAGATGACAGCACAAAAGATGTGTTTATCAGGTTATGGATGAAAGCAAGCTGAGAAGCATAACTTGAAAAATTGATGTGCCTAGCCTTAAAAGACTTTAATAATCCAGGAGGAGGAGAGGATTACATTTCAACAGTAGAGTGTTCTTTAGTTAGTAGACGGTCTCTTGTTTGATGTAATTGAGACTTGTGATTAGTCAAAGAAAGCAGGAATCATAAAAGAAGGATAGTTCTGTATATTTCTTGGAACACTGTTTTTTTTTTTTTTTTTCACTTAAAATGTACCCATATGCACTCGTTGCCAAAGTTTAGCTGTAGGAATATGATTTTGAGAACTGGCTCATAATGGTTTAATTTGCTAAAAGTCACACATGTAGTGCTTCATCGAAAAGCCACAGTTTTAGATTCTTTGGAGTGGAGTCAGAACTAGATATATTTGAAGTAATCTGACTGCAGAGGCATCTTGGATTTAGATTTTTTTCTTGGTCTTTTCCACACCTAATATTTTAGAAGTTCCTTTTTCTAATCGGTTCAGAACAATCAGCCCCATTTTTCTCATATTCAATTTCTGTGGGTTATGTAATATTTAATGATAGTGTACTACAGAACAGCATATACAAAAATTGTAAACCTGTAGGGAAGCAAACTTCAGTGACAGGTGGCATATAATGAAATAGGCTCAGGCAGGTGTTGATTCTGCAGGTTCACTTAGAGAAAGAATGCGATCTTGGGGATTCCAAGTGGAAGTCATTTAGAATTTCTGCTGCTTATTAAAAAACATAGTTTAATATGATCTTAATTAAGACGTTTGTAGTTCTAAAGAGCATTGGACAGATTTTGAGTGACAGGAACAGGGGTCTCCAGGTTGTTGTAGCATTGGAATCCCAGAGAGAATAGCATGTCCAGGTTCAACAACATTATAAAGGACATAAGCCAGAGGCTTTTCAAAGAGTGGCCCTTACCCTTTTATGACCTGTAAGCTCTTCACTCAAAAGAATGCATGTGAACAAACATGTAACGTTTACGTATCTTTAATCACACTTGCTTACTTCATTGTTATGTAAGTTTCTGTAGCTATGATTAAAGAACAATACAAAGGGAGAAGTTGTTTATTTGACTTACAGTTTCAGAGTCTTTTTGGCTTTGTTGATTCCCTAGTCTTGGCTTCATTGCTTTTTTTGGGGGGGGCCTATGCCTGTGGGGACAGTAAATACATCATGGTTGAGGGAGCAGATGATAGAGGCCATTCACCTCATAGCAGACAGGAAGTAAGGAATGAGGAACGGACAGGGGACCAAGTATAATACCTCCAAACTTCTTCAGCTAGTCCCTACCTCCTGCAGTTTCCACCATGAGTACAACCATCTGTTGACCACTAAGTATTCAGCACACAATCTTAGGTAGGGCATTTTATATTTAAACATACTACCTTGAGAATTGATACATTTATAGGTAGACTATAAGAATATTTTTAAACAAATTTAATTCAAATTTAAAGTTAAAGACTACTTGAACATATATTTATTTATCAATTTTGCATATATACATAAATATATATACATACATAATATATACATACATGCATATGTGAGTATGTGTGTTGGTGCATGTACCCCTCCCTTCCCTTGTGTGCTTGTAGAAGCCACAGGAGACTATTGGATATCTTGCTCTATCCCTCTGTACCTGATTCCTCTGAGAGAGAGTCTTTCTCTGAAGCTGGATTGCAGAAGACAGCAATCCCTGGTGGTCCTGTCTAGTCTCCCCACAATGCCTGGCCACACCCATGTTTTTCATAGGTACTGGGGATTTGAACTCAGGTCCTTATGCTTGTGCAGTAATCTTTTACCTGATGAGCCAATTCCCCAGACTCTATTTGAACATTTTAATAAATTCAAATTTTACAAATAAAATGGTAAATGAATCCAAAAATTTTGTAAATTTCCCAACACTGCAAAACATTTTGAATGTGTTTTCTTTCTTGGTGTGGTGATTTGAGTGATAAAATTTCTCCATAGTCTCAGGCATTTAAATATGTGGTCCCTAGTTGGTGGCACTGTTTGGCTAGGTTTGGGAGGTGTGGCCTTGCTGGAGGAAGTGTGTCACTGTTGGATGCTTTGAGAGCTTAAGGACTGTACCATTTCTAGTTCGTTCTGCTTCCTGCTGCCAGCTGGAGAAGTGAGCCCTCAGTTTCTGTATGAACTGCTGAACTCATACCTTCTGTGTGCTGCTGTTGTACCTCCCGCCATGTCAGACTCTTAGCCCTGTGGCACCATAAGCCAAATAAACTCTTATAATAATTTGTTTTATCACAATAATAGAAAAGTCACTAGTATACTTGGTTGTTTTTGTTTAAACGAAAATGTGGGTTATAAGATGTGATGGTGCCATTCCATAAGCTTCAGTCTAGGCTATCTCAGTGTACTGTTGTCATGCCTTCACCATCATGAGGAACTGTACACTCAGACTGTGAGCCACAGTAAACTCCTATTGGAGTTGTTGCTCTTGTTGGGCATTTTTTTTCACAGCAGCAAGGAGAGAAACAAATACATATGACAATAATGATGATTTCATGTTATTTGCCAATGTACATTGTCATCCTGTGCTATTTTATGCTTGTCTGAAGTGAAATACAGCTTTGGAAAAAAAGATACAGGAAAGGAATGAATGAAACAGTGTTCACAAACAAACAGAAAACATCAGTGAACACACATAATGGTAAGGTCTTAAGATCATATTACTTTAAGCTTGGCTTAAAGAATAGAGAGATTGAATGCTATTGATTTTAAATACTTGAAAAGTTACCTTAAAAAAGAATAGCATTCTTATGTGTGTGTGTATATCTATCTATCTATCTATCTATCTATCTATCTATCTATCTATATCTAGATGGTACAGAAACACCAGCAAAGAATATTAAGAACAAAGCAGTGTCTACTCAGTATGAATAACATTTTCTACCATTTAGAGCTGATCATCAGTGAAATAATAGGCTGCCTTGCAAAGTTTTCTTATCTCAAAAGCAGTAACACTGGGTTCGTTGCACTGTTAGAATGGTTTCTGTTTAACATCTGGTTTCTTACTTATTTACTGATAAGATCACTCAGTTTAAGGGACTCAGCACAAGTAGAGCTAAGCATGTGCACCTAGAAGTTGGGCCATCTGGGTAACTGTGATCATAAATGAGTCAGCAGTTGTTCTGTACTTGAGTTTCTCTTCTATTAACCGAGATGATCATGCAACCCCTCTTAGGAAGATGTTTTAAGAACTGAAAAGGTTAATGTGTCTAAGGTACCTGGCAAGTACTTCATTTTAGGAGCTTCTAGAACCCTGTATCTGTCATAGGATCCACATTCTTTGCTACAGACAAATATAGTGTGTCTGGAAGAGGCTGTTCTGGGTGTTTTGGTGATGTAGAAATGATTCTTACATTTCAGAGACTAGATAGATTTCATAACTTCTAGGACCATAGCATTCTAGAGACTGGCATCAGGGAGAAAGTAAGTAGGGGGTAGGTACTGTGTATGTATGTTTGTAAGGAACATGGAAGCACCAGGACAGCCTGTATAGGACTTTACTTCATCCTCAGTTTGTATAGTGGCTTCCTCTGTTGGAAGATAAAGTACATCTCATTAGAATGGTTTCTATCTTGGTTTCATTGCTGCTGTACAGAATATGCTGTTCCAGTTGCGTTCTTTAGGTTGATCTGTTAGATCCTGAAAGTTGTAATTTTCTTTCTTGATTCACTTCAGCCTCTCTGAGATCTCAACCTGTAATTATCACACATCCTGAAATGTAACACAAACTTTTCTGAAGCTTTCTTGTCTTCCAGTGTATGCTAAACATTTTATCACACTGGGTTATGATAATCTAGAAAGTCAGGTTTCTAGCATTCAGGAGGAGTTTGTTTTTTTTATTCATATACAGATAGGGTGATCCTGGAAGTTACTACTTGCATTTGAATTAGAACTGTGCTGCTGCTGCTGCTGCTTTTTAAACTTTTTAACCCTCTCTTGAAAATGTCTTCATAATTATCCTGGGAACTTCTAAGAGAGAGAAAGGGAGTGGTGGAGCAAGGAGGAAGCCATACAGTGGAGCTCCCCCTTTTTTTTCTTGGCCTCATGAGCCAGAATCCTGGGGATAGAATACTCCTTTGCCACCTCAGGCAGTAGACTGGAATGGGGCTAGCTCTTCTCCACACACTTGTTACTTTGTTTATCTTTCTCCAGATCAAGTCTTTTGGCCAATTGCTTAATTGCTCTGAACTCTTTTCCTTATCTCTGAAATAGAACTACCGAAAGTACACTTCACTGGTGAGGATTAAGTGAATTGGTATGTAGAAGGGTGTGTTTAGCTGAGAGGCTGGCATGGGCTATTCCATCTCAAGTGTTGGAATCTTTTCCGAAAGATTGGTCTAATCTAGCATTGATCTGTGGCATATCAAGGGTCAGCACTGATCTAGCTCTTAAAGAACAGAACTGAATCACAGAGTGGAGAGCCCTTCCCATAAAGCTCTCTTACTCCAATAGGTGGATGATAATAGAATTATGGGCTCAATACAGGGAGCTGTGAGCAAGGTAATAGTAGCCATGACCTGGTTCAAAACTGAGCCTACCTTGAAGTGGTCTGAGTAAAGCTTTTAGTTCGTGAAATAGAATTGAGTGTAACCATTCCAAGACACATTTGAATTTCAAAACCCTCCTCCTCCCGCTTTTCCTCCTTTCCTGCTCTCTCTTGCTCATCCTCCTCTTCTTCCTCCTTCTCTTTTCCTGCCCCCCCCCACCTCCTTATTCTCCTTGGGGAAATCAAGGAAGCTGCTCTTCCCACAAGGTTCACTAATTCCTCAACTTGGAGGAGCAATACCACATACAGGATTGTGCCTCCCACGGCCTTCACTTATGAAACATGATGAGAATGACCCAGGGAGCCATAAATTATTTCTGACTAGAGATTTAAAGGGGTTTCTGTCCATACTGCCTCCAGTTTTGGGTATTTTAATGTTTGTTAACTGTAAAGATCTCTTGTTTTATACAATGTTTATATTTCTTTGGTTCTAAAAGAAGAAATACAGAGGAATACCTGAAGTACTTCACTTACTTGTCTGAATAGGACTCTTACTAAGAACTGCTTTGAAGGACTGGGGAGATGGCTCAGTGTTAAAGTGCTTAGCATGCAAGTGTGAGGGCCAGAGTCTGGATCTCCAGAACCCACATAAATGCCTGGTTCCAGCAGGATTGGAAGGTGGACATAGCACTCCCAGAGAAAGCTGGTTAGCAAATCTAGCTGTATTGGTGACTTCTGGTTTTGATTGAAAGACTGGCTAAATGAATAAGGTGGAAGAACAGTCGTAGAGATCCGTGATGTGAACTTGTGAGCACCTTATGCATGTGAACAGTTGTGCTCACACACATGCACACACACACACACACACACACACACACACACACACACCACAGTGCAGATGGAAGAGCAAGAGAAAACATTTGGAGACTGGAAACAATGCCATTCACCTGGACTCTCAGACCTCAGGAGCCTTAGTTAGAAGGATAGGAGGCCAAGGCCAGGCTGGGGCACATATTGAACCCTTTCTTAAAATAAAAAGAAGTTAATAAATAAAAAAGGAAAGGAAGGAAGGAAAAAAAAGAGGGAAATCCAATAGCAAATATGTAGCTCAAGGTTTTATCTGACGTCGAAAAATGTCCTGCTTGTTGCTAAACTGGACTGTGGTTAGCTGACCATAGTAACAGATAGTTTCTCAGACCTAAAAATATTGAGAAGAGAACAACATTTAGAGTGAAAGCAGAACTTCAGCAGCAGTGGCTAAATATGTAAATACCGGGGTTAGACCTAGAAACATGTTTGGTGAAAGGCTGAAGAAATTATTAAAGAACCATTTGAAATAGCACTAAACATGCTTTTCCCTTGAAAGAGTATTTATATGTGTGTTGGCTGGGTGCATTCATTTTATTTCCATAAACTACTATTTTGCCAATGTGTCATTTTAATTCTTTTTTTTTTTCTTCAGCTTATGGAAACTTTTTCTTTTCTTTTTCAGCGTATGGGAAAGTATTTCTAGTTCGTAAAATAAGCGGCCATGATGCTGGGAAGCTGTATGCCATGAAAGTCTTGAAAAAGGCAACAATAGTTCAAAAGGCTAAAACTACAGAGCATACAAGGACAGAACGACAAGTTCTGGAGCACATTAGACAGTCGCCATTTTTGGTGACATTGCATTATGCTTTCCAGACAGAGACCAAACTTCATCTCATCTTAGGTAAGTGTCCATTGTCGTCATACTCTCTATGAGAACATTTTCCTTTAGGTCTGTAGGCTACATAGTTTGGACTTAGAAAATTCTTCTCTTTGTTGGTGGTATTTCTGTTATCATCTGGCTTTGGAAATGAGACCCCACCACCACCAGCAGCATGAAGAAATTTGTATGCCTCTGTTCAATACTCCCCGATTATTCAGTGTGCATCCATGCAATGCAAGGAACTTGATGGCCACGAGGGCTCTAATTTGTTCTTTAGTTCTCAAGAGTGTGCAGGTTTGGGCTGACAGGGGACAGCTATGGAAGCCAATAGCTAGGCCCATTCTCTGTCTCTGTCTGTCTTTCTGTCTCTCTTTCTCTCTCTGGATCAGGATGTAGCACTCTCAGTTACTGCTTGTATGGTTTCCATACTCCCTGCTGTGATGATAATGAACTAAACCTATGAGACTGTAAGCAAGCCCCCAATTAAATGCTTTCTTTTATAAGAGTTGCCTTGGTTATGATGTCTTCTCACAGCAATAGAACAGTGAGTAAGACATTTCCTAACTAATATGTTTTCATTTTACTCTATACTCAGTTGTTGGATTTATCTATCGCTATCAAACAAACCACCTAGAATGGAGTAGCTAAACAATGATTTATTTTCTTAAGTCTCTGGGGAGCTGGGAAGGGCATTTCTCTGCTGCTTTAGGCTGTTGTCACTTACATGCAATGTAGTAGAAGAGCTAGCTGGGTCAGAAGATCCAGCTCAGAAGATCCATGGTAGATAGAGTTTCATATCTGACAATTGGTGCTCTTGTTGGCTGTGCTGCCTTGTTTCTTTCCAGTGTGGCTTCCCATCCCTTAGTTCAGCAAGTTAGCTTCACACTTGCTTCTTGAAAGCAGCACAGGAAGACTGCTGAGAGTGGAGTGGTGGAGGCTGCACAGCTCCACCAGGAACCAAGCAGTCTTTCTGTCAACACATCATCAGCCTAGATTTATATCCTGCTGAGAGGGAACTGCAAAGAGTCTGTATTCAGACATAACAAATTACAAACTGTTTGTCCAGCCCAGGAAATCTTCCTTGCCTCTGTCTTTTGGATTGTTTTTACTTCTACTGAATTTCAGTATTTGGGAAGTTAGATATAAAGGCTAGATATATTAAAGTTAGACATTTGGGTCTGGACTATACAGTAATAATATTTCATGTTGTAAAGCATTAGGAGAAACGTGTTACCTAGTTGTTACTAATTCAGAATGCTAAAATTGGATTAGTAGATGACTATATGAGTCCTTCATCATTATCTGTTTTTTCCCCTTAAAAGTAAATATGTTCTGTGTGGTGTGTTGAAACACTATGATTTTAGCATATTAAAACATGGTTAATATAACAAAACAAGTTATGTAAACTTCATATCAATTCATAAAGATTTTCCTTGGTCTTTTAAATTTCTGTGTAGTACTCCATTCCACTCCATTGTGTTCTTGTGTAGTTATGACTGAATCCTTAAGTTGTTTGTAGTTTTGTCTTATGTTGATCCTTCAGGGTTTAATTTACACATGTATTATTTTCAAGTTTTGTAGAACAATCATTTAGGCAGAATCTGTATTTTAACCATCTATGTTTATGTCAAATACCCTTCCATTGCATGTGTGTGTGTGGTTCTATGCAGAGTGTATCTCCAAATTTCTAGATATTTGTGCATCTTTTAAACGAGGAACAGTGTGTCATTGTAGGATCAACTTTTTATTTTCTCTCCTGAGGCTGGCATCTTTTTTTATTCCTAAGAGCCATAATATGTTCTGAGTTTATGTATTTTGAGAATTACTTATTTGTACTCTTTGCTCATTTCTTCTCAGTTTCTAGGATCTCCTAGGATGATTAGACATTTGTGATAAGTTTTTCCCCACTTTTCACTTTTTAACCTTGTTTACAATGCTTTTTATCAAACAAATTGAATTTTACATATAGTAGAATTTATTTTTAAAATTTGTGGTCTCAATTTTGAGTCATAATTGAAAGACCTTCTGTTCTATTAAGTTTATAAAGGAATTAGCTGGTTTCTTTTTTCATTAGTATTTTCATGCTTCTTGCTTTTGTTTGGAAAACTTTCATCCAAGTTGAGTTTTTGTTTGAATATGACAAGAAATAAGGATTCAGCTTTTTAGATGGCTACTCAGTTTGCCCGCATTATTGAGAGAAAAGCTCATTCTTCACCCTGACTTGAGATGGCAGCTCTTTTCATCTATGATTGTCTCATATGTATTTGGATTCTCTTCTGTTTGGCTTAATGAATAATGCCAGAGCACCTTACTGGAATGCCTTTATGTGGGCATTCCAGTATATTCTAGTATTCAGTAATGCCAGTTCTCCAACAACCCTTGGTTTTTATTGCTGATACCAGAACTTTATGGAAGGCTGTTTCCTGTTATTTTTCAACATGAGCTTTATAATCAAATGCCTTGTTCTAGAGGGAGGAAAAACTTGTTAATGGGTTTTACTGGGATTTCTTTAAATTAAAAAATTAACTTTGTGCAAACTGACATTTTGATGACACTGGTTAGTCATATTCAAGAAGATGGCCTGTCTTTACCTGTAGGGCTCTGCATCTGAGATCTTCAAGAGTGTTTGAACATTTTCTTTTTACTTGTGGTATTGTAAACCTCACCTACTGTATCATATAGCTGAAGGGTTCTACTTTTTTTTTTTTAAACTAATTTTACACCTTGAGACCTTACTGCCTTGTTCCTTGTCAGCCTACTCTAGGGCATATTGTTCAGTTTCTGTGACTTCTGTATCTCTTATTTTCCTTCACATTTAACTCAAGGAGATTTATAGCCATCTCTGCTGCTTTTCAGGATGTTTTAGATATTCAAATCTAGGCTAACATCAAATCATGGCTCACTGCAGAATGCTTGACAGGGCTTACTCCAAGGGGATAAAATTTGCTTGGTTGGCACAGGCTTCTCCAAATAAGATAATTATAATGATAGTAGTATCTCACCAGATGCTATCTGTGACATTTGTTTTTAGTAGCCAGTTATGGAATAGACTAGCATTTCTAACAGAAACTGAGCATGTATGATTGCTTCCCACAATAAGCTTTAATTATAATTATCTCTCATTTGTTTATATTCTATCTCCCATTCTCTAAATCAGTAGGCAGTACTTTTTCTGACCAGCAAAAGACCAGATGGTAACTATTTTAAGCTTTGTGGGCTTTTCAGTCTCTTTGACCATAGATTATAGTAAACAAAAAAGGCATAGTACAGTTCCAGTAGAATTTTACTTAAAGAATTGGTAGTGGACTAGATCTGCTCTCTGAATTATTATTTGATGACTCTTGCTCTAAACCCATCTCTTGAAAGTGTATGCATAAGTATGTATGTTACACATGCATGCATGTGCTCTCACGTGGAAGCCAGAGGTTGTTGACATTAGGTATCATCCATAATCTATCACCACTTTATATTTGAGACAGGGTCTTTCACTGAACCTGGATCTCATCAGTTAGACTGAACTGGAGATTCAAAAGGCCCCATAGGGTTTCTTTTGTCTTGGCTTCCTCAGCTCTAGGATAACAGGTGTGTGCTTCCATATCTGGTTTTTTATGTGGGTTCTGGGGATTAAACTCAAGTCTTAACTTAATAGCAAGGCATTTACTGAGTCATCTCTCCAGTCCTGTTAAATCACATTTGAGTTTAAAATCTTGCTCTATAGCATTAATAGGTCTTTAGGCCCCTTTGTTTTATCTTAACTGTATAACATCACACACACACACACACACACACACACACACACACACACACACACACAGAGAGAGAGAGAGAGAGAGAGAGAGAGAGAGAGAGAGAGAGAGGAGTTTCCCCTTTATATTTCTTGCAGCTTTCACAAAGATAGCCTTCTCTTTTATAACTTTCTACCTGTGTTGATATAAGAAATATAAAAACATTTTAATCTGTTCTCTCTTTTTGAACTCATATTATTTCAATAGAAGTTGGAATTTTGTGTGGGAAATAGTCTGTACAAATCAGTTTCTTTTTTAGTAGTCCTTGAAAATGGTGACTTTTTTTCAAACACCAACAGATCTTTGGCTTTAATAATCAGTCAAGTTAATCAGTGGGATTCATCAGACATTAAAGAAGCAAATTACAGGTGTATTTATAAGGTGTCGTGATCCAGCATGTCTCAGCCTTAGACCATGAGGTTCTACCTGAGTGGGGATGTGTGGACCTGGAAGCTTTGAGGAACCCAATGGCGATAAAGACCAAACACAGGCATCTTGTCATCTTCAGAGAACTCTCAGTTCCATGTTGTAGAACTAGAGCCATTTCTTTATTAGCCATCTTTTCTGGTGTCTCTTAACCATCCTGCTAATACTATGAGGCAACCATTTCTCTCTTTGTTCTCTCTCCTCTCGCCCACTTCTCTCCTAACCTTCTGTCCTCATACATTACTCACATACCTCTGCCCAGGTGCAGGTCTATACTGATGCTTAGGTGCATAGATATGCAAATAAGGAGGCATATTATCCTGAGGCCATGGTAAACAAAAGTATCCCTGCTGACATTAACAATACAATAGTGGCGGGAGTTTCCTGGCACCACTGCTGTTTATGATGGCCAGAACCTGGGACCCGATATTCGGTCCCCCACAATAAGGCTGCTGCCAAGGAACATTTTTAACGAAGGCTCTGTCAGTCTTGCAGACAGTTCTGTCCTCATGTGTTATTTCAGTGCGAGTTGGATGTTTAAGACGTTAAAGTTCACTCTTGAGGGTTAGTTTCATCTCAGAAATTGCAAAGGTGTTGATGCTTGATGAGATGGTAACAATGGTTCATTGTGCATTGTAGTCACTAATGTGGCAGAACAGACAGGAACTGCTGCCTGTCTAATTCTCAAGTCTGAGAAGAAGTCCTTCTGTGGTGGCTGTGAAGAGCTGTGATAATGTAAGGTGTCATTGTATGAAGTGGGAGCACAGGAAACTTGAAAGAGAAAGGGTAGTGTGTGTGACTGGAGAGTGA